CCCCTAATCTGCCTAAAAATCTCAGGTTCTCTCACCTTTCAGTAAATTCTACACTGTAAAAAATGAAATGTTGGATTTACTTAACCATGTTATGTTACCTGGTTCCACTTAACTGAGTTGAGTAAATTCAAAGCAATATACCAGTTTTTTTAGCCAAAGAACATGAATATGTTGCTTTGAATTTACTCACCTCAGTTAAGTGGAACCAGGTAACATAACATGGTTAAGTAAATCCAACATTTCATTTTTAGAGTGCAGCTCCATTAAAAAAGCAACACTTGCAGACAGAGCAGTCAGAGCTGAGTCCTCCTCACCAACAGGACACTAATAATAAAATGGCTCCTGGCTCAGGTGGGTGCAAACACTTCTCCCCTCACTGGCTCGTGTGCGGCTCAGTTTAATGGCTCCAGGAGGAGATAGGAGGGGGGTGGGGGGTGGGCTAAAGGCTCTGGACAAAGTTAACATTCCTGCCTAACCAAAACCAGAAAGCTTGGTATTTTCAGGTTCATGGAGCAGACAGAAGGGCACATGAAATCCACCAGAACCGAACCTAATCTTTAAAACGTCAATTAAATCATGTCCTCATCCAAGCAGACATATATCCTCTGCTGTTTTAAATAAAAAGGTTATAGAAAAACAAGTGAAATGAAAAAAGATGAAGGAGCTGTGCTGAGTCAGACTGAAATGTTTTGGAAATTGTGGCATTCCTGGAGGAAAACAAAGTGCTGCCAAACTTCAGCCCACTGAGAGAGAAAATCATCCATTGACTTAGACAAGCTGAAGCCATGTTTGTTTGTTTTAAACAAGGAGTAAAACAGGATTAATTAGAGTTTAAACTGAACATTTCAACCTGGTTTGTTATTCAATAAGTAAACTTAAACTGCACACTTTAAAAAAACACAAAGTTTTCTGTGTAAACTGAGCAGAGAAGGTGGAGGACTCACCGCTCGCTGCCAAACTTCTCGGTGAAACTTTCTGCTTCCTCCTGTCGGAACCAGAGGAGGTGACTGCTCTGCGTGGCCAAGCACTCAGTGTGAGGGAGCCTCTCCTTCTCCTCTCTCCTCCTCGCGCTTAATTGCTTCACCAGGTTTTTCTAATTAGCGCGCGCCCTCTCTCTCTCCCTCTCTCTGTGTCTCTCTGTGTCTCTCTGTGTCTCTCTCTCACTGGCGTCCCCGGTCCGAGTGTTGAGCCGCCGCGGCTGTGAACCCATTCAGCCCGCCTGACCCCGTGTGTCGGGGTCCCGAACCAGAGGGGACAAAAGGAGATTTGGTTCCTGTAGCCTCCTCCTCCTCCTGCTGCTGCTGCACCTCCTCCACCTATAACTCGGCCCCGTTGAGAGAGGAGGCCCCTCACATGAAACCTGAGATCAACGACTACCGTTCCTCACTCCACCAGCATCTCATCAGAGCTTCAACAAGGAAAAACAGCAGAACGTTTCAATAATTAGCTTTAGTTCACGTGAGCGCAATTACAAGTGACAGGAGGTGAAAACAACAAGAAAATCAGTGATGTGAAACTGAGTCACAAGAACAGGGGCAAACCTAAAGAATTCAGGTCCCCAGGCACAAACTGGGGGGCGGTGACACACACGTTTGTTCTTCAACCCCAAGGGGACCGTGCATTGACTTCCATTCATTTCTTTAGACTTTATAACCCTGACCATTTACCCTAAAATTAACCTCACAGGTACTTACCTGACCCTAAAACTAACCTCAGCCTTGGTTCTAACCCCACCACCCGCACCACCACCACCCGTAATTTGCATTTGGGAACAGTCTCCGCGATGCACTTAAGTCCCCACAAGGCTGCTTGTTTTGGGAAAATCTTCACCACCTTGTAGGAAAAACACACACACATGTTTGTTTCTCGACCCCGTGGGGACCTTCCATTGACTTCCATTCATGTTTTTTAGACTTTGTAGCCTAACCGTGACCATATACTCTAAAATTAACCTCACAGAAACTTACCTGACCCTAAAACTAACCTAAACCTTGGTCCTAAACCTAACCCCACACCTGTAACATGCATTTGGACCCGTGGGGACCTGACACGATTCACTTCGGTCCCCACCTGGCTGCTTTTTTTGTAAAAATTACCCCATGTTGTAGGAAAAACCCGCCCACACACACACACACAC